TTGTTGTTATGTTTTGATCTTAATTCAGCATATGTAAAAGAGTAAGGCTAAGGATGTAACTTGGTAGAGCATGTGCTTAGCATGCATGAGGCCCCACACTCCTCCCCTGTTTCATCCCCAGCACTGGGAAAAATAGGGAAAGGAAGGAGGTGGGAGAGGAAAAAGGGGGGAGATCATGGAGCCGTGAAGATATTCAGATTACTCCTGCCACTTTCCAGTGGTGCTTAGCAAGCTGCTTCTGTATTTCAGTTTCCTTGTCTGTTTGAATGGGGGATGATACGGTATTATTCATGGATCTTAAAGAGTTTGCAGTCATGCCCAACACAGAAAATACTAGATAAATGTGTGCTGTTACATACTCAAATTCTTGTTAGTCCACATCCATGCCTATTGGAAAACATTGAAACACTGGTGATGGCTCATGCTGCACTGAGAAGCCTGCTTATGTAGTTCTTCATTACATTTTAGCCTAAAAATGATACCATGGGAATGAAAAATGACAGTGAAAGGAAGATTTTCTCTAAAAGCAGTATTCCCCAACAACATTTTACACTGCTCATATTTGTTTACTGATAGGGGAAAATTCAGTACTCTAAAGATCAACTACCTTTTTTTCTTTGTTATTTTAAGAAGAAAACAGATTGGGTCAAAAGAAACTATATTACTGTATGTTTTCTTGGTTTTGTATATTGCCGATTTTAATACTTTGTATTTTTCTAGAAGGACCATGTTTTTTTTTCCCCAGTTTCTTTAAAAATGTAATCTGTGAACTTGTGGTTATAAAAAAAAATACTGATTAATTATATTGATATGTAACAGACATTATTCTAAGTCTCAAACTCAGTCAAAGGCCTGCATTTTATATCAGGTCATCAGAATATTTATTAGTTAAATAACCTCAAAGTTTCTTTAAAAAAACCACTCACACATGGTAAACTGCCTTAATGGGATTGATGCCAGCTTTGGTCGTCCAGGAGTGGAATGCTACTGTCAGCACGACAGTGGAGCAGCAGTGATCCAACTCCAGTTCCTGACTAATGAGGTTAGTGAATGGTGTTTATCTCTCTTACATAGAGCTGAAAATAGACCATTAGCTAGTTTTTCAAATTGCTTGTATACACTCAAACTTAAACACTTGAAGAAATAATGTAATTTCTCATGAGTCAGAGGCAATAGTAATTTATTTTAAGGTGCCACTATAGTTACGCATTATTTTTTCCCAAAATAGTGTTGCAAAGAAAATGGTATAGGTAAAAAATTTTGATACCTGATGCTGTATTTAAGTTTCAGTTACATAACATAAACTGTATTAAATAGTTTTTAAATAAGCAATTTATTATAGGTAACAGAATGTTCTTTAACAAATTGCTTCAAAATACATCCAGAGAAACAGAAAATGTTTACTAATTCAAGTTGTGTTATTTATTCTTTGAAATTGTTGGTAATGCTTTTTTTTTTCTAAGAGCATGAACACAGGAAACACTGCTTACAGAAAAACTACTTGAGAAAAGGCTCTGCACTGCTTAGATATGAGAATAGTTTGTGGGCATTCCTTTTGCCCCAAATGCTTATGATCTATGGAATAAATCCCTGAATAAATAAATATGAAAGATGGGCTAGATAGATAGCTCAGTGGGCATCTTAATTTAATACATTTAATGAATTAATAAATTTAGATGTCTTACTAAATCAACCTCTACTCTAGAGATTGTTAATCTTTTTTACATATTGTCTCTTCTGGAGCTTTAGAGAAAATGTGCTTGCATAGAGCTTCTTACTCTCAAATTGTGATTGTTGGGTCTGGATGAGACTGAGCCACTGGCATCGTTCTTGGTACTGCTAGTCATTTTCTTCCCCACAAATAATAATATAAATTAATTCGGTGTTTTAACTTTACCAGTTAGATTTTTCAACTACTCAGACATTAAATGCTATCTTTGTTCTTGCTTGAATTATAAACTAGATATAGGATTTTCATAAGTATTTGTTTTAAACTATATGAAATGTGATCATTTCACTTTATTTTGTATTTGGCTAAGGAATGTTCTATAATAATGACCAAGTGATTTCTGGTCTAATTTCTTAATAATTTTGAGGCTTTTAACCCTATTTTCCTACTAAATCCTAGAATACCTTTTGATTATAAGATGTTAAGTTACCAAAGAGGTTAAAACATTAGTTTATGTACACATACAACACTCTTCTACAACTGCTGTGTAGAATTTGGGTGAGGCAAATGTTTCTTATAACTAAATCTATTTGGAAAAATGTTTTGAAATTTAAGAAGACTTTTTGGCAGTTATTTGGCAATATGAATGCTTACCAAGTATATCATGTATCAACTATATTTTCAAGGGAGCCCTTGTGAGTGCCTTGGCTGATGACACCTTACACTTGTGGAATTTACGTCAGAAAAGGCCTGCAATACTACATTCACTTAAATTTTGCCGAGAAAGGTAAGATTCTTTTCCTACAAAAAGAACATTTGCTATTCATTTTGATGCACTTCCTCTGAAGTATATTTTTTCTGATGTACTTAATGAAGACGCTAAGTAATTTAAATTATACACAATGAGATCAAAGTCCTTCCCTTCTCAGAAGGAACCACATTCTGTTGTTTTTTTCTAGAAATAGTTATGTTGTAGGTATAAATGCCAAAAAATTTCTAGATAGCTTCTTTTTCAGTAAGAGGCTGTTGCATAGACTTTCTGGTTTCTCTTGATGACATACGTGATACGTTATTTTGTCAACACATTTAGATCTTCCCATTCTAAAAGGGAAGAATAGAGGCATAGTGGGGGATTCACTGGACAGCAAGACAGAAACCTAGCAGAGAAAGCATGATCCTGCAGCTCTAATGTCTGGGAACTTACTTTCAAAGGGCTTAGATGGCTCAGCCCCTACAGCTTTGCTGTTGCAACATACATCTCTCTCTCGGGCCAGTACCACTGCTTGTATGCAGCTCTCCTTGGCAAATGTTCCACAACCCTGGCATCTCCAACATCTTGGGGTCTCCAGTGAAAACCAGGCTTGAACTTCACAGCTTCACATAGTGGTCTCCCATGGCCTCATTCTCACAAGGACTCCTGTGCCTGACATTGCCTGGCCTCAGCAGCTCTCTGAAACTGTGGAAAAAGAATAAATAACCCTCTCACTCTTTCATCTTTTATGCATCTAAAGCCAGCATCACATGAAGCATGCTGCCAGTTTCCCTGAGAGGTTAGTGTGGACCTTGAGCCACTTTACCCACATTATAATCAGCTCCTGTCTGTTGCCCTTTTCTAGGAATAGAAAACTTCTTAGTTCTTAGCCTAACTAAGTGGGGTCTTGCCCTTAGGATCCTCTTTCCATTGCTCAAGTGAAAATCTTGAGGACTCTCCTATTTTTTAATTTTATTTCATTATTATTTGTTTTGTTTTGTTTTATTTGAGACAGGGTCTCCCTGTAGCCCCAGCTGCCCTGGAACTCACTACGTAGAAGAGGTTGGCTTTATCTCACAGAGATCTGCCTACCTCTGCCTCCCAAGTGCTGGGATTAAAGGCATGTACCACCCTGCCCTGCCTTTGAATCCACTCCTTAATGGGTCTAATCTCATCAAAGAGAGCCTTTCCTCCTCCAGCTTGTGCCTTTCCACTACATTATTTAGCTTCCCAGTGTTCTTTTCTCACTCCAAACTATACATTTTGTATTTCTTTCTGCCCCACTTATTCTTTTTCATTGACAATCAGGATAATATTCACCATTAATAACCATGCCACCAATTCAACATTAGGCTGTCTTAAAATTCCTCCCAATTAATTTCTCAAAGAAATTAGTTCATTATGTTTCAGTTTAGCCTCAGGCAAGCTCTTAGGTTGTAAGTAGACAGTAGCCATGTGCTTTGCAAAAATATCCCAGTTGCTGTTTAAGTCCTTGTTTCCATCTCCCTCTGGAACATCTTGAGCTGGGCCTCTACTAGAATGGCCCACTAGGCTCTGTTTACAGCATTAACCACATTATAGTCTTCATCACAGGCATTTATATAATTTTCCTGCTGTGCATTTTCCTTTACTGTGATGTTATGTTGCATGTATGTCTCTGTGTATACATATAAATATATCTAAAAGATAAATGTAGAATAGTTTGGTCTAAGAAATCTCTCCTGATATGATGTGTGAACTTCAGGCATTGATTGAAAAGGTCTTTGTCCACATTTTATTAAGCATTATTTTCCATATGTTCTCAAAAAACTCTTGGTTCCATTTTTATCCTTCATCTTTGATTCATACAGAACTCAATTTTCACATGAAATATGAATAAGGATATAGTCTTTCTCCTCCATAGTTTGTGAGACCATTGTGCTGTGTGTGTGTGTGTGTGTGTGTGTGTGTGTGTGTGTGTGATTTAAGTAGTTGGCATTAGAGACATAACCACTTCTTTTGTCCAAGTGGTAGGCCTTACAAGGTTCTTGTTTTTATAAGTGTAAGTTAGCTTGTCGGATTTTATCTACAGGTCAGTCTGTGGTCTGGGCTTCTCCCCAGTAGCCTTTGACAGTAGGCCAGGCAAGCCGAAGGGACTTCTGAAAATACAGCAACTCATGTATTCCCACCAATTCCAGGGCATATGTGCATCCTGGAAGTGGGAGGAAACAGAGACCAGATCTAGCAAGAGGTCAGTAACTATTTGCTGTTGTCTGTATCTTGCCTGAGAACATAAAACTTGTAAATGACTTCATTTGAATCATTTGAGTCATAGAAGAGCAGAAGTGAAAGAGAAGTTAACAGAAGGGCAAATGGGGAAGAACAAGCAAAAATGGAAAGATTCACTTGTTTTCTACCTCCTGAGAATTACTTACCTCAACTTCCCCAGGCAAGTACTAATGAGGCCCTGACCCTGCTTAACTTCTGAGATCAGAGGAGATCAGGTGTGCTCAGAGTGGTATGACCATAGACTTGCCTCAACTTCTGAGCAGAGTTCTTTAATCTGTTTGCTAGTGGAATCTCAGGAGGAGCTCTCTCAGCCTCAGTTGCTGTAGAATGCCTGTAGATGGGAAGGACAGCTGATCCTGGTGCGTATACCCTCATCAGGGTTGTACCACCACCTGTTGGAATGGACCTGAAGATTAGCAGAATGGTTGTCACACGGGGGTAATTCTGCCACCAGAAGGCATTTAGCAATGCCTAGAGACACTGAAAAGGTAGGGGGACAGGTACTGCTTTGTGATAGTGAGTAAAACCCAGAAATTCTGCCATGTCTGCCACAGGATAGTGTGCACAACAAAGAACTAGGTCATCCAAAAATCAGAACCATCAAAGTTAAGAAACTCTGACCTCTAGCAGATGAAAATTATGTTATTTGGTAAATGTAGTGATAGAGAAGTTCTTGGAAACCACCATTTACTAGAATATGATCAGGAGCAAGAATTCTAACAAAAGAATGTCTCCGATGCCTTATTTGTCTGTTTCATAGCCATATTTTTCACTGGGAACCGGAATGTGGCAATATATTGTCCAGGTTCACAAGCATTCTCAGTATGAGTTACTGTGCTAAACATTCATAAGAACCAGACCTTGCAGGGTCCCAAAGCTAAGACCTGTTAATGGTCAGATGTATCAGCTCAGTAGGACAGTGTTACTGTTTAGATATGTAGTATCTTCCACCCATCCTAGCATCCCAGAAGGCAGGTCTTGAGTTGGTGGCTTTGTTTTGGGATGTTCTAGAAGCTAGGAGGTGGGACCTAACCGAAGGAAGTTGATCACAGGGTCAGGTGGGGGTGTTCTTGGTATGTCATGCCTCTCTTCTTACTTCCTGGTGTACTCTCTACCTCCTGTTCACATGAAATGAGGAATTTTCTCTTCCCATTCTCCTGTAGCTATCGTGTTTTACCTAAGTACATGGGGCCAACCAAACATGAACTGAACCCTGTGAAACTGTTGGCTCCCAGCAGCCACCAGTTGCCAGTACTTCCTCAGGTAGGGTTGGTGTTTCTTACCCACATCACCATGTCTGGGCTGGGATTTTGTCTGACTTGAGCTTAGGTGGGACTTGTGCATGTTTGTCACCATTGCTATGAGTTCATATAAGTAACTTCCTGGCTATCTGGAAAACTGTTTCCTTGTGTTCATCTATCACTTCTGGCTTTTGGGATCTTTCCACCCCCTCTTCCGCAATGATCCCTGAGCCTTGGGAGGCAAAAGTTTGATATAGGTGTCCTATTCAGGGATAAGCAGTATGCATCCTCTTAGTCTCTCACACTGGCCAGTCATGGTTTTCTGTGATAATTGCCATCTGCTGCATAAGGAAGCTTTTCTGCTGAGAGTTGAGAGATGGATTAATCTATAGATATAGTAAAAAGTCATTAGGAATTAGTTTAACATTATACCTATTTAGCAAGGTAATCATATTAGGTTCTCCCCTGTGGCCTGTGACATACCTAGCCTCAGGTTTCTAGGCCTGATACCAAGGTCAAATATGGATGGCTCCATCCTATGAAGCAGACCTCAAATCTAGTTAGAAAGTAGTTGGTTATGCCTATAATATTCTTGCCACTATTGCAGTGGTTTGCCTGTCTTACCATGCCAGTTGTAGCTAGCAAGATTCACAGCTGGACAAAGTTGATGATTAATCTTCCCTTCGGGTACATGCATAGCACCTTCCAGCACTATGAAACCTAGCTAGTAGAAGTGAGGTGCTGAAGTCAGCACCAGTTTTATTTCTCCTTGTTTGTTCTACAGCTCATGTATATAGTGTCTTCAGCAATAGGGGCTGACCATCCAGGTCTGGTTGGTAATCAAGACCACGGGCAATGCCCAGTACTGTTTGGGGGTCTATAGGATGCTTAGTCCAAAGCTTTAGATGGTAGAGTCAGTTCCTGGCATTGGCTTTTCATTTTACTAGTTTATGGTGACTAGAAGTGGCAGTATCCTGCTGTTACAAGGTAACTCCTTTTAATCTCTTTTCATAATATATAATGTGTATACTTTAAGAAGTTTCTATGGTGGTTGGTTTCCATATGGATTTTTTTGAAGGCTTTCAATGTTAGTGATCCTTCCTCATGGAGTATGATCCTTCCTCTTGGAGTATGTATCTTTAAGACAAAGAATGCCAAGGATAGCTGGCAATTCGAGAAGCTAAAAGGGCATGTTACAGATTCCTCCCCAGTGCCTTCACAGAGCCCTGTTGACACCTTGATGCATCTTGATGTCTGACCTCTAGCTTCAAGAACAGCAAGAGAATAAATTTCTGTTCAAAGACACTTTGTGGTAATTTATTGTGCCAGTTCTAGAAACCTATATATAGCCTTTGGTCTTATTGCTTGGTACTGGCAACCATGTTATGTACTATTGAGTTTATATGTGTAAAGAAGTTCTCGGCTTTGATCGAAATTGAAAATTTGATAAGTAAAATTCTACCTGACACTTGCAAAATATGTTGCACTTGGCTTGCACTTTGATTATTTCTCCTCTGAAGGACATTT